GGACACTCAGGGCTGTTAGGCTTCTTAGCCACCTGCTTGGTCTGATACTAGCTATCCTGTTCATGGCTGATCATTTGCAGAGTTCAATAGTTCATATTTAATGCAAGTTTTTTTTTTTTTTACATAGTTGACTTTCATGAGGTATGATGATCTATCTTCTCATGAGACTAAATCTCCTTAGTTCAGAAACCATCTTCTCTTAAGTTCCTACCCACCAGCACTAGGTCCAAGTCAACAGTAGACCAAAAATACACTTCATAAAACTGAGTGGAAGGCCCCAGTGCTACACCATTCAGTGATGCAAAGTCCCTTGGAAAGTCACTCTTTTGAGACACTGGCACACATATGCAGTTTACTTGTAGCTTCCACAGTCCTTTGTCTAATGAGGAAGACAGACTGAGAGCAATAATAACTTCTAATGCATAGTGAGAGCTCTTCCAAATGCTAGACTGACAAGCTAGAGTGACCACATTGGACAGAAATACAACAAATGTTCTGAAGCTGTAGAAACTTCCAGACATTTCTCCCTAGTGTTGTCAGGATGAGCACAGATTGGTCAGCTTGCATCTCTCTGCAAGCCCAGAATGGAAGCCTGGTTCCTCTTCACCTGGGTATGAACACTGCACACCTCTTGTTCATTGTGCAGCACCAGCAATGAGCTGCATTTTACTGACCTCACCTGCTCTATCTGGAAATAGTGCAGGGTATAGGCCAAAGAAATCTTCCCAATTTGACAGCTTTTGCTTTTCTGCCTAATCTACAAGAAGTTCTTGATGAAAGTCCACAGCCCACTTATTTTACATGGCTCCAAATCTGGTAGAGAAAAACTCAAATGGGCCTTTTGGCTCAGCAGAGAAATCTCTCTCTACTTGTGGGTCAGTGACATCCATTATGTGCTTTAGACTGTAGACCTAGTACATTGGCACAATTCACATTTACATTAATCATTTTAATCTTTATTTATCATGTAGTACATTTCCAGAACCAAGAAAAACTCTTTAAATTTCATCTCTACCACAGAGAGAACAAAGGGTTAGTTTACTAGCATCAACAACATTCCAGTTTAAAAAATCTAAAGCACAAATCTTTGTTAAATGTATTACTTAACTATATCCACTGATTTACTGTTGAAAAATATTGCATCAATGTTTTTGTCACTATTTCACACCAATAACTTTATAAGGACAGATGAAATTCCAAAAATTAAAGCTACAATCAGGGAGTCAATCAGGTTCTCTTCACAACAAGAGCAACAGCCTGAACAAGGAACTCACAGACTTTGGTGAGCTTGCCCCTGCCCCCAGCACTCCAAAAGAAAAGAAAGAAAAAATACAACCTGGAGAAACAGCTCAGCTCAGTAAGCAAAATCCTTGCTGTGCAAGCATGGGAGGACCTGGGCTCAATCCCCAACACTCTCATAAAAAGCTGAGCAGGCTAGCATGGGCTTGTAATACCAGCTCTGAGGTAGGAGAGACAGGTGTGTATTCTTTGAGCTCTCTGGTAAGACAGCATGGTCTAATTGGCAAGCTTCAGGCTGAAGGAAGGAAGAGAGAGAGAAAGAGAGAGAGAGAGAGAGAGAGAGAGAGAGAGAGGGGGGGGAGGGACGGAGGAAGGAAGGAAGAAAGAAGGAAGGAAGACTGAAAGAGAGAAAGAGAGAGAGGGATAGAGGAAGGGAGGGAGGAAGGAAGGAAGACAGAAAGGAAGAAATAAAGAAACCAAACAAACTAACAAACAACAAAACCAAGGTAAACAGTATCTGAAGAATAACAACTGAGTTTGGCCTCTGGCCTCCATATGGCTATGTACAAATACAACCTCCCATCCACAATATATGCACACACATACATAAACATATAGATGCTTACACACCAAACACCACCCCCAAACAAAAGAAAAAAGATATAGCCATAATATCCCACTAATTTCTTAGTTCTGCATTTCACTAGCATCTAGTCCACATGCACTGTGATTTCCATAGTCCATGAGTAATAACTATGCTGTAAGCAAAGATGTGTTCACTTTCCAGATAAGAAACCTAGGCTTAAGACATTAAAGCACATCCCTGCCATTAGCATAAAGCAGACAGGGCATCGTCATTTATCATGTGACTTTGCTGTGCCAGACAGTGTAGTTAAGTCCTCATGGGACTCCCAAATTCCTTGCAGCAATCATTACTCATTGTTCTAGTTTCATTTCTGTTGCTGTGATAAAAATACCCTTACAAAAGCAACATAAAGGAGAATGAGTATATTATAGTTCACAGATCCAGCTCACAGTGTGAGGAGTTTCAGACCTTTGGTCACATATCCACAGTCAAGAGCAGAGAGAAATGAATACATCCACGCTCGCTTGCTTGCTTTTGCTCAGTTCAATTTTCCACTCTTAATACAGTTCAGGATTGCGAGGGAATGGTGTTACCCATAGTGGGCAGGGTATTTCCACATCAATTAAGCTATTAAAGACAGTCTTCCACAAACATGCCTATAGGCCAACTCAGGGATGACAACACTTCACTGGAACTCTTTCCTCAGGTGATTGACTCTAGACTAAGTCAAGTTGGCAAAGCTAATCATCACACTCATGAAAACTGAATTTCAGAGGGAATCAGTAACTTACTCAAGGACAGGAAGCTAGTAACACCAGGACTAACTGATTTACTGTGTGATCTCTGTGGTAGTCCACAGAGTTTCACAATTCTGAAGTCCAGGGCAAGTATTTCAATTACAGGATTCTACACATAAAGCAATCCCTCCCTGTCCATCACTCTTGATAACCCCATATCCACTAAAGTTTCTGTATTTCTTGTAAGTGTTGATTCTGTCACTGGATTACAAGTGGTAACTGTCCTATTACTTTCATATTACTTCTGGTCCCGCAAAAGCTCAAAACATATCTTAAGTTTATGAACTTATTTATTGGAATTTGTGATAAAAATAAATAGGTTCAATGATCTTAATAACTGGATAAACAAGATATATTGTTTTCTTACATTGTGTCTGAAAACCGAGGCATGCTGTGCATTCTTTGAGACAATTAGACAAGCTAGATAAAAATGTCACTCTGGCTGATTTCTTAAAAATCTCTGGCAAAGACAGAGAAATTATGAATACAATTAAGGATCTTATCATGCAATGTAAGCCACATTATGATAATGTAAGGCTTCCTGAAAATTCATGTGCATAAAAGATAGTAAGCACAATGCATACAAGCTCTTCACATCAGACACACGTTATCTGTGATAGCCATTCATTTTTCAAGAATGTGTGTATATGAGGTTGGGTTCACATGTGTGTATAAGTGTGTGTGCATGCACACATGTGGCCATGTGTATGTGGAGGCCACAGGATAACCTTGAATGTCATTCTTTAGCAACACTGTCTATGTGATTTTTGAGACAAGGTCTCTCATTGGCCTGGAACCCGTTAGGCTAGGATGGATGGCCAGGGAAGCCTAGATTTCTGCCCATAAGAGGTATTTTTCTCGTTCAACTCTAAGCAAAGGCCAGAAACAGCTGAACTTCTCTCTCTAAGTCCCTTAACTCAAAAGCAGGGTGTCAGGTCCTCCTCTGATGACTGAAATGGCAACAGGGTCAAGGAGTAGCCGAATATTGAGTATGCAGCATCAAATATCACACACAAATTGTTTACTGACATTACCTTTGTTTTTCTTCCTCCTTCCCTTTCCTTTATCCCTGTAAATTATTTTGATTCATTTTCGCTCTCCACATTTTCCATTTTATAGTCCTATGTGAACTAAAAGTTCTCTTTGACACAGTATCAGGGCTTAATCCTCTGGTGTATGGTGACTGTCTATGCTCTGTGTGCCTCAGAGGCAGGGTCCGGCTCCTTTATCTGAGTCCTCTCCATCTAGCACAAGTATGCCTCAGCCAGACCCTGTTAGCTGATCACCACCTTTCATTTATGATGAAGCAGAGGTCAAGCCCTGATCAAATACTTTAAAGAACATTAAAACATGCTTAAAAATTCACTGACTGACTCAGAATTAGGTTTATAAAAAAAAAACCTTCAAGTTTTGTGAATTGGAACTTGATAATTATAACGGACATAATTTTGACTGCATAATTCTCCTTTAACAAATAAAGGCAAATAATTACCAATTCCATTAGTGTTCCTGATGAAAGTCTATCCACACCAACACGCATTCAGCCAAGCCCAGCACTGACCAACATCAACCCACCTTCCCAGAGCAACATGAATTACATTATTCTAAATTTCAATTAACTAAAGCCCCATCCATCACTTTCTCCCCGAGGGCTTGATGTCTCTGTTCAGATCTAAAAGTGCCATAGTACAGGAAATAGTAGCATGCTGAGGTTGACTCCACCACAAAGCCATATTCTAGTGGGCATCCTGGTCAGGACAAAGTCCTCATTGTCTCTTTCTAATATGCACTTAACAAAATCAGTTCTTATTATAACCTTTAAAAATCTTTTGAGAAAAAGGTCAGAAATTAAATTTTGCCTATTTTTGTGTAAAGATTCAGACACAGACATGCGAAGTTCTTTGGAACACTGACACTTCACTGATGGAGAATGTAGGTATGGGAATCTCTGAGCTTAGAGTTAAGCCTTTAAGATGTTCATTCTCAGCCAGCTGGAATAACACCAAGCAAAGCAGAAGGGACTAGATAACAAGATGCCTTGAAATGCCAGCTCACATAAAGAACCCAGCACAGGCCAACCACCCTACTCTCGGGAAAAAGAAGAGGCAGCTGACCATCTGAGTGGTCCTGGACCACATTTTACAATGATTGGACAAACCTGCAGTTGGCTTTCTGTGTTGCTTCTGATTCTTACTATATCAGTTCAACTCAGAGTCGGTGAAATTAAAACACTTCAACTAGACAGGAAAAACATCTACCTCTTCCAGAAAAAAGACTCTGTTCTCTAGACAATAAAGCAGAATGCTAGCAACAGCAAGGGCCACACAACATATTTAAAAGTAGACAGCCAATTTCAATTCAGCCAAACATGCCCTTACCTGTTTTGATATTTATGGCAAAAAAGTTCTGCGGATTTCCACTTGTAATCCTATAGGTCAGTTTTTCATTGGAACCAGAGTCGGGATCTTCTGCTTGTATCTGAATGACAGACACATCCTTGGGAGAATTTTCCATGACAACAGGATAATAGATGGGTTCCGAGGTCAGGGGGGCATTGTCATTCACATCTTCAACTTCAATGTAGACTTCAATGGTGGAATAGAGAGGGACCACGCCCCTGTCTGTGGCATACACTGTCAGCCAATATGACCCCGTTGTCTCTCGATCTAGAATGTCAGCAGCAGTGATGACTCCTAGGGAAAAAAACAGAGCACATGATGGCTTAAGCAAAGGAAGGCAATTAAGTGAGTTACCCAGAATTCCTGAGAGCAGCACAAATAATCTTGGCATATTACAGAAGATAAGCAAATTCATAATATGAGGTTACATTGGGATGTTACTCTTTGCATAAAGAAACGATTTTCCGTAGGACTAAACTGTGTAGTTCTCTTATTTGTGAACTTGAATTACACTCATTTTGCATTTCCAAGATAGACATGTAAGATACATATGTACTCATGTCTGTGCATACATACCCTCTCCACATGCACATAGATTACATGAAGAAATGAGGGACTAAGAAGACAGTGGGACACACACACACACACATACACACACACACACACACTCCACATCTAAACAAGAGACAAAATGGAAGAGGGTTAAGAGACAAAATAAATCCCATCTTCCAAGCCAGTTTCTCTATTTGATATGATGCTGAATTGATTTCATAGAAAACAAACACTCTTCTCAGGTAAATTATTTTATCTACTCATTTACAGGAATGAAATAGACCCTTCAAATGTTTTCATGTCTATTAGAATGGAAAATGTTTTATCTGCAAAGATATAAGTCTGCACCAAACTGTTTCCCAAAGAATCAAATGTTACAGCTATTCTGCAACAGTCAGGGAAGAAGCCACGTCAATATACTTTCTAAATGAGCTTCATCTCTCTCAAGGACTCTATTGAGGGCCCTAAATAAACCAGAAACTACTCTGAGAGATGCTCATGGACAATCATTTTAAATTAGGTGCAAAAAATGCCTAGACTACTTTCTCATGGCTTCCTTATTTCATAGTTGAAATAAGGGCCAAACCAAAACAAACAAACAAAAAACAAAAACAACAAACAAACAAACAAACAAACAAAACCAAGTAACAGCCAGAGACATCCAAAAGACAACACTATGCCTTCTTATGTCATACCACAGCCATCACCCTAGTAACCAAGCCACAGAAAGTTATCACAGGGATAGGTTCTCAGCCACAATCACTGTGATGGGAAACCAGGTCCCAACTTAGGACATCTCAAAATTAGTTCCAATGCTCTTAGAAGGTGTAGGGCTAATTAAATCTTCAAGCCTCAGGAGCTGGTTCCTCAGTAATCCTAGCTCTCAGTTCCCTCATTCTTACTGGCCTTTTGTCTAATTTGGTATACAATTTGACCTGCAGACCTTACAAAAATGACTACCAAGTCACTCCTGGGAAGGGAGAGAGTATCTATACAAACAGGTTGGAATAGCCAAGGATGAGTGCCCTCGGGACAGGTAGAATACTCAAAAAGAGGTGAGGTAGTTGATGTTGCAGTCTCAGCTCCAAAGTTATTTACCATAAAGAATTTATCACAGTTATATGCCAGAGATAGAGATCACCATATGCATAATATGAGATTAAATTGAGATGCCACTCTTCATATAAGGTCATTCCTTTACAGTAATAAAACTTTCTATATGTGTATTTCACCATTCTTCTTTAAAATAATTTAGGAGTGGAATTTATCAGTTGAAACCATATGTTTTGTGTGTCCTACGTGCCTGTGCACTTGTTCATTCATGTGGATGTAAGCATTTGTGCATATGGGATATGTGCACATGGAGGCCAGGTATTCACCTTGGGTTTGTTCCCCAGGTGTTTTCCACTTTTTTTTTTTTTTTTTTTTTGAGACAGAATCTCTTATTGACCTGGGATTTCCAGTTTGTCTAGGCAAGCTGGCCATCAAACCACAAACAAATCTGCCTGTTTTACCCCAAGTGCTTGGATGACAAGCATATATTTCCACACCCAGCATTTGTACATAAGTGTTAGGGAAGAAAGGAAAGTAGTTTGTCAAGTTCATCTTCCCAGTCCAGCATGCACCTTGCTAAATGTCTTTGACCTGTTATCTTCTGGAAAGTGTGTCAGTAGTGGGTATCCTCAGCAAACTGCTACCAGAAGTCTTCATCTTTACATAGTGAGTAATACTTATTAGGGAAAAAAACTAAAATATACTACAATTTGTCACCTGGAATGATAGCACCTGAATTCACCAGTCAGAACGTTTGAATGATTCTTTTACTTTTAAAATATAATTATTACTTTTATTTATGTGTGTGTGTGTGCGCGTGCTTTTATGAGTTTACATTACCAGTGCCAGTGGAGGCCAGAAGGCTTCAGATGCCCTGGAACTGGAATTAGCTGATGTGGGTGCTGGGAGCTGAACCCACATCCTCTGCAGGAGCAGTTAGCACTCTTAGCCATGGAGGCATCTTTCTTACCTTTGAGTCATTCCTTTCTCATATTTGTGACAAAAATGTCCCCAGTTGTAGTAAGACTGGAAGAGATGCTGCTGCCAGATTTGTTGTAGTTTGCTGGAGGTTTAAGTTTAATTAAGTCAAAATGTGTCCATAGTAAAAAAAAAAATCAATGTTGAAAAATATGGAGATTTTAAATGAAATGTCAGAACATGACCTTTGGCTCTTGAATTGAGAATGCCTTAATGGGATGCACTGTCAGATTTTAGCTGTACCTTCATCCAAGTTTTAGACATATTACAGGTCCCTAACTCTAACTCAGGATAGTGTTTGGTGTCTCCTAGCATGTAGCCTGGGAATCCAAGTTTTGCTTAGAAAAGGCTTTTCTCAAAAGATTCCCAGAACTAAAATGAATTCAATTGCTGCTGTCGTGTGGACTCCTGATGCACGGAAAACTAAAGTGGCACCATTGCTCTTTTTAGGAGACTTTTCTATGTTTCTCCCATCAGATAAGAAAGCTGCAAGCATAGCTTGCAGGTTCAAATATATACTTAGAACCTTAGAAGGAGTAACAGGAGTAACTGCCGCAAATGACTACCCAATAAAATAATGACAGCAGACACCCACATGCTCTTTCCACAGAGAATGCCTTCTGACCTGATGTGATTTGATGTTTACCAAGAAAACCTAGGTGTGTGCAAATAACTGTGCACATCATACAGAGGCTACTTACCAAATAAATAAAGAGCTGGCTTTATTTCCCAGGTTAAATGCGTTCTAGGTAGCAAAAATGAAGCATACAACATAAGGTGGATCATGTCTGAATTTGTACTATTTCTCCCCTATTTATAAGTTGTGGAATAAAAAGCCCATCTGCATCTATTATGACAGAAGCTTACCATGGGAAAACTATTCTACAAAAGTTCCGTTTTGTTTCAGTTATTTGTGTTGAATCTCACCAAACTACCTTTTTTTCTTCGAGCAATGATGGTGAATCATAGACAATGTCATACTTCTATAATCAGCTTTGGTTGATCAGATCATAGGGAATGCACATACACAAAAGCATTAGAATACATGAATAACAGTGATAATCAACTTACCTTTCTTAACAATGGAAACAATAAGCCCTTTGCTTCTCTATTTATTTATCGCCAAATAGGCCACTACAGCAGCATAAAGAAACCAAATCCCCAAAGGAGGAAAGGCTATAGTTTTTCCTAATTGAGTTTCCGTAGTTCTCATGATCTGTAGATTTCTTGGATTGTTTTCCAATTTTCATTTGAATTTCATTCCATTAAATGGCTGTAACCTCTGACCCTCCCCTGCCTTGCATTCTTCTGCTGCTGCTAATTGAGACGAAACGTGCCCACTTGGGCTATGGACAGCGCCAGAGGCACTGAGGAGACCCAGATAAATGCAGTGCTAGACTATGCTGTGACAAGGAGACAAAGGAATTCTACGGTCCCTATAATAGAAGTCTGTGAGGGCAGCTTGTGGATTTGTTCAGTGCCTAGATACTGACTTTGAATGAGAAGGGAAAAAAAGCACAGGACAGAAAAAGAAGACTATTTTAGGACCACTTTGTTATCATACTGACTTTGGCCACATGTGAGGTAATTCAATCTCTTAAAATATTTCTATATTTAAATTACTTCATGATCATGAGTTACTTAAATAACAAGGCAGGTTAATGATAGTTTTTGATCAAATGACTGAGGTCTGTGAGGAAATCGTCTTGTATTTGCAAGGCAGGGATGAAAAGTCATGATGATTTTTCTCTCTTTATAAAGACATTTATTTAGGAACTAACTATAATGCAAAGCAAATAATATGTATAAAATCAGGAACAACTATTTTATGATTTTTAAAAATGACAATGGCACCGTGAAAATAAAAGCTTATATATAAACCGTCCTGACATCATGTTGGTATTCTGCCTGTAGAAGTCCTGGCTGACACAGCTGAAGAGTTCTGATCCTAGGAACAGTAAATGTATGTACAGCACTAGTAAGACATTGGCCTACAAAGAAAAGCTGGCTATTAGAAGTAGTACAAGATGCTGCTAGAGTTGGGGACCTCCACTCCACATGCATAGCTCTAAATTAACTGTAGAGTATTCCTTAACTATCGAGAGTCACAGAGAAACTAGAGGAGGGGGTTTCCAGAAATGAGGGTTTAGGGTTCTTGCAGCTGTTGCTATATCTACCTTTCTTCCTTATACCCATCTTAGTTCACAAATAAGCACAGTAAATTCCTGAAAGCTACATAAGACTGCAACAGAGAGGCCAAGAGTGTGACACTAACAAAGACACATAAGTAATCCTGGAGCTTCAGGAGACAGCTCTGAACATAGGTCACATGGGACAGAGTATATGTCAGTGTGAGTGACTACATATGAAGTGAGTGTGTATGAGTGTGTGTGTGTATGAGTGTGTGTGTATGTTTGTGTGTATAATTATATGTGGGGATACATGCACCTATTTTAACATCAGGAGTCATTCCTCAGGAACCTTCCTGACTTTTGAGATGGTCTAGTCATTGGGACCTTGATCTTGCTGACTAGATGACACTGCCTGGCCAGCAAACTCCAGCTGTCCTCTTGCTTCTGCCTCCCCAGCACGTGAGTTATAATCATGCACCACCATGCTCTGCATTTTTCCATAACTGCTGAGGACTGAACTTAGTTCCCCTCTTGTTTGGGAAGCAAGAGCTTTCCCAAGAGTCATCCTAGCAGCACATA